CCTTTAAACTTCAGGAATGCCAGATAGTCGATTGTCACAATTGTGATAATCGATTATTGGTTGTTTGGTTGAACTTCAGGAATGCCAGATAGTCAAAGACGCGTCACCCGTCTCTAACCATTCGATAAAATCATCGGGGTCGTCCTTGCCATCAAAGGTTGGGATTTCAACCTTGAAACTAGCGGAGGACTTCTCTTGGTTGTCCTTTCGTATGGAAGAGGAAGGAGTTTCTGCATGGGTCTCTTCTTCTTGCTCGTCTTCACTTTCCTCGGGTGTCTTCGTCATCTTCAACTTCATTTTAGTGAGTTTAGCCACTTGTTTGGCCAAATACTCAACTTGAGCTTTGAGTTCGGCATTGGATGCAACTAGGTCTTCCTTGGTGATGTTTTGGGAGGTGTGAGACATGTTTTGAACTAGGAAGTGAAAGAGTGAAGGTAGGCCAGTAGCTAGGATGAAGGAAATGGGGGGGGGGGAGAATGTTTTGGACGAAATGAGGATGAAGGAAATGAGAAAGAGTGGAAGTGTGTTCTTGGTCCTTTGGGATCTGGGAACAAGAAGCTCTGATACGAGATGTTATACCCGAACCCGGGGTCTTATCATGTAGATAATTTGAGGGCGGGATTACGGAGGAATTGCTAGCAAACTAGAATAGCCTTTAAACTTCAGGAATGCCAGATAGTAGATTGTCGCAATTGTGATAATCGATTATTGGTTGTTTGGTTGAACTTCAGGAATGCCAGATAGTCAAACACGCGTTCAACCGTCTCTAACCATTCGATAAAATCATCGGGGTCGTCCTTGCCATCAAAGGTTGGGCTTCTCTTGGTTGTCCTTTCGTATGGAAGAGGAAGGAGTTTCTGCATGGGTCTCTTCTTCTTGCTCGTCTTCACTTTCCTCGGGTGTCTCCATCATCTTCAACTTCATTTTAGTGAGTTGAGCCACTTGTTTGGCCAAATACTCAACTTGAGCTTTGAGTTCGGCATTGGATGCAACCAGGTCTTCCTTGGTGATGTTTTGGGAGGTGTGAGACATGTTTTGAACTAGGAAGTGAAAGAGTGAAGGTAGGCCAGTAGCTAGGATGAAGGAAATGGGGGGGGGGGAATGTTT